ATCTGTATATCTCGCGAAAGTTGAACGTTTTGGGCAAAACTACACGAAGAAACAATGCTTATCGCCCTGATGCTGGTCAGCAACACAGACGCTACTGAGCTTCTAGCGCCATCGGCACACACACACACAACACAACTGTAGGTTGGCCTCGCATTGAATAGATAACCCCACAAAGACTAAGACGGTAGATCTCGCCCTGTCATTTAGTTATGAGTGAGGCAATTGGACAACACGTACTTGGGCTAGGTAAGATGACTGGACGGAAGTTCAAGTCAGGCTCGGTGACTGAATACAACTCGGACCCATGTCCTTAACCCGCCATGATTAACATGACGACAGGATGAGTTTGGAACTGGTCAAGGCGCAGGAGACTCGGTGACCAGGGGGTGTAAGGAAATCAAAAGAAGAAAGCCGATAGTCTTTTCTTGGCCTACCCCAGTTCCGAACAACTCATGCTATCCCTGACAAGAACACAAACCATAAGTGAGATGTCTTTTTCCTCGTCTGCTTTGCTACGTTTCCCCCTAGTCAAGAATGCCTCGTGGAAGGTTCGGCCAGCCAAGGATCTAGCAGCGAATGCGGCGGCCCTGGCGTGAGATGCCGCGCCCTTCTAGACCGCTCCGGGGAAGGGCTGCTCCACTCCGGATCGAGCATGTCTCTTACCCGCCGATGGGCTGTGGCGTGGTTTGTGCGCTCCCCCAGCTGACGGACTGGACTGCTCTCTTCCAAGGGGTGAAACCCTTCAGAGTCGCGTTGGTGGATGGACCTTTGGGGGAGAGAAGAGAAGAAAGATTCACCGGTCCGACACGGTCCTTACCTGGTCAATAAGGAGATGGGCTCGTCGGGAGATTACCCTCGGCTAAGTACATGCTGCTTCTCTCCTGAGGGTTTCCCTGGGCTTGAGCTCAACTCAACAACTGGTCATCTTCAAGGCTGGCGAGTTGTGGAGGTTAACCTTCTGACAGCGCCAGACCTTTGACGGGAACCGCCGAGAAGGAGGGAAATCCCACATCCGTCATGATCCTGGGTTAGCTGACGTTGCGCACGTGTCGCTGCAAAGTTTCCCCAGTCCAGTTCGGCACACGCCAGGCCAGCATTTCAAGGGCTCAATGTAGATATGTATGTACCCTGCGGCCACGCCCCCTTCCTTTGCAGGCAGCGAAGAAATGGAATAATTCCGGAGCGAGAGACGAAAAGGAAAGAAAAAAAAAGAGTGCGTACTGGTTGTAACCCTCTGGCTAAACCATGCCCGGCTGCGAGGTTGCAGTGAAGAAATTCCTCGCAGGGTTGGTGCGTGGTCGGTGCCGACGCGGACACGGGGGCGGGACCGACGAGAGTAGAAACACTCCGGGCCGATCGGCGGGCCGGACGACCGAAGTCCATGGTTGAAGGACGCTTTCAGAGGGTGGGAAAAAGGAATGGGCTTGCTTGCAATTGACAGCTGTAAACAACCAACAACACATATCATCGGTGGATATAGCCGGGAAGTTGGTGTCCCTCATCAAATCGACGAACAAAAACAAGACTTACGCGGATCTACTAGGGCCCCCCAGTCCCAGCCTCTCCCGCCATGCAACGGAGTGAGGGAGGGGAGGGATGAAGAGAGGGGGGCATATACAGGGGTATAGCCAAGTAATGCATCTGCACCTCCACAGAAGGGGAATGTGCATCAGAAGGAAGGATTGTCAGAATAAAAGTCGTTGCTTGATGCGCGAACCTGTGACGCGATTCTCATGTCTGTAGTTCCACATTGAGGCCAATGTCCGTATTGGGATCCATATCGGTGAGTCGATCAAGAAGATTCCCATGTGCGAACTGAGCAAAAACCCCGGAGGAAAGAAACGAGCCAAATCTCGTGTCTCACTGTCCATCCATCTAGAACAAATCCCTAGAACGATCCCTAGAACAAATTCCCTTGAAGCAAGCCTTCCCGTTCCCCCTTCCCGCCCTCTTCCCCCCCTGTTCTTCTCCTCTCCTCTCGCACTCTTGATCTCGCTCTTTCATGCAGCTCTCCTCCGTCAGCCCAGCCCAGCTCTTACTAACCCTGCATGTCTCAACCGCCTGAACTGAACCTCGCTGCGCGTTGCGTTTATGCACGGTCTTGACAGGGCACATGAATGCACTGCAGGGCGGCCGCGGCGGGCTTCCCTCACCGCATCGCCGCCGACAAATAAATTGTTCAACAAAATTCCGCATCTGCCCATATTTCCTTGTCCGCCCCGTTCGCGAACGGGATCAGATCGCAGATCTGCGGGCCTCGTGACGGGAACTTCAGTGGAGCAGGGTAGTAGGGCTTGATACGGCCTCGGTTGCGAAGCGTCTCTTTTTCACTTGCATGCCGTGTCGCTTGTTGTGCAGTAAGCAACATGTCAGACGGGAACTAATCAAGTTGAGGATGCCCGTTCTATGTGGGTTTGTGAGACTAGTGTTTCCGTTGAGGGTTTCTATTCCTGATGGGTAGCTGATCTGTGTGGACATACATCCGACACTCGCCGAGAATAAGATAGTAACGGGATGGATATACGAGAAGATAGGGTAGTGGGAGAGCTGCATTGACGACTAACCTGTTGGAGACGAGAACTATTGGCAAAAGATACGGCTTCTATACCACGTAGTAGGTTGTTTCCAAGATGTAAGTATGACTACACAGGCGGAGTAGTTGTCGGATATCAGACTCGTTTTCAACTCCGCCAGTTCGAGTTACTGTACTACCCTTCACTCTTCTACCCTTCACCGTTCTCGACTCGAGCGTAATAATCAAATAAATATAAGCCATCTCAAAGTAACCCCCTCTGGAACATCGCAACTGAACAATCAGGTTATTGTTTTATCAACATACTGTCTTTAGTCTTCTACTTAACCTATAGTTGAGCATACCCAGACCAGTCAAGAGACAACTTTCATAATCTCCAACAGCTGTGACCATGGGTTTCAATACCGCCAGCGAGTTTTCAACTCATTCCGAGATCTTTGCTCTTTTCTCGACTCGTCATTAAAATGACGTCGGAAGTCGGGTGTCGGGTGTTGGGGGTTGGGGGTTGCAGTCGGAACCAGTCTCAAAGGTTTCGACCCGAACAGCCGAGTTTTCTCTCGTTTGGCTGGCTGGAATGCCGGCGTTCCTTCCGATATACCCTCCCGTGAATATGGTTGCCTAGAGCGAATTGATCGTCTGGTAGTTTCTAAACTAGACTGGCCGTCTTGCGACTGTTCCAATGCAAGGGTGACATTGCCTCGACTATTGAGCTATGGCTCCAATCCAATTCGTGTTTGAGCACTATCATGCTATGTTGTGAGTTCATACTGTATTCTGCGGATGAACCCATGGGGTACACCGCAGTTCTATGATAACCTCTTGTATATTAAGTCTGCATGCGAGTTGCGATCCTGCACTGTCAGCTCTTCATACCACCAATTGCCACATGAACAACCCAGCATCAACTCTTGCAAGTATCACGCGGCATATAGCATTCTCAAACACCCCTAAAAGAGCCGAGTAACGTCCCTGACTCGACCAAATAGCCGGATCCTGGAATGGTAATAGAGTGTCAAGTAAGACGTGCCCAACCCAGCCATTCCGGTGGATAAATGCAACTTCAAGCCACGCCGGTAGTATGCCTTCATGTAACCAAAGCCATCCGGTTCAAGTATATAACGTCGGATAAGCGCAAGTTAATAGCATGGGTTGGAGTATTATAGGTTGTGCGTTGGCTGACACCTCGGGCCGACCCAGGTCAGCTTGAAGCCCGTCGTTCGTCAGCTTGTTCCATTTGGGGAGCATCCAGAACAACTGGATCTGGATTGGAGTGGCTTACAATGAAAAATTTCAGGATTTGTACATTGGGTGTCTTCATGTGACCCATCTTCCTCAGCCGCGAGGTCTACGCTGACTCGTCAATACACGAAGGCAACACTCGTTTGCTTCCTAAGAATAGCTTGGCATATTGGCTATGTGGCTCAAGATGACAGATTGTAACATTCAAGGCAGAGATGTACTACGTAGGAGGCCAGCTGACTGCATTATACAACCGTTGTATTGCATGAACAGGAGTCCGCCACTCTGGCCTTTAGGGCAGAGTAGGGCTATCTCCTAGGGTTGCCAGCTCACATCTCGCCACTCAACTACCGTTCGAATAATCGAGAATTTCGTGATATTTGTGTTAAAGAGAACCAAAAGATGGAGAGAATAACTTGAAGCTTAGAGGTATCTCACTTCATCGCGAACGTTTAGTTGTATGATCTGTGGCAGCTTCTCTGGGACCATGGGACCATGAGTGACGGACGAAATACACGACTATAGACATTTTCATGAACAAGCCTAATCGGCAGTTACTTGGGAGGATGAATATTGACCTAGGGATCCGGATATTGAATAGAGTTATAAGCACTAGACGTAGCAGCATCAACTCAACAGAGAAAGAACATACCCAAGTACTCAGCTATACCAACACCGTTGTGAATATCAACAGAAGGAAGAAATTAATTTGATATAGCTACAAAGTTTCTGTGTTTTCTACTCAGAGTGATGTTGCAGTAGTTGAGTTTCTGAAGCAAACCTCCAAGCCGACGCCTTGATAGTGTCTCTTGTCCCCAACCCGAGTACATACGACCATATCTGCTAGAAAGCTCGGGATCCCGTCTGATCTCCCATCGATAACCTGGCAAGAGTTGGATTAGTAGCTAGGTCGGTGATGACTAGCGAATCCCCAATGTTGTATGTTTTTGTTCCATTTTTGCCTGTCCTTGTGAGGGGGGTAAACGTTCTCTCATCTCACCGTAACATGATCTGATACACTTATCTTGCTGAACACGGCTGAACATTTTCTGCGGACGTACATGATTAATAGAAGCAATACATCTTTCTAGCAGAGAGCTTGACAAGATTTTCAACGTCCAAATACACCTGGCTTGTCCCGACAGGACATTCATTACCTGGGTGTTTCGCAACTCATCTACCCTGACTCCCACACTCGTCGAAAACTTCTGAAATTCCCTAACTGCTTTTAAGGCCAGAGCTCTGTTTCCTCCCACGAGTCTCCAGCCAAGCGATAGTTCCATCTTTTGCCCTCCTCTGGGTCTGACAAGTCGACCCGGTCCACCTCCTCTGGCACGATGACAACTACACGAAAGTTCTTCCTCGCAATCTCATCATCTAGATCTTCTACTTTCTGCCCCAAGCCCAGTCCTGGCCCTGGCTTCTCAGTCTTTGGTGTTCCTGGCGCCGGGTTTCGGAATGATCCTCGCATCATGGGACTCATGTTACCAAAGTGAGCCGTCACCTCCTTTGCCCAATCCCACGAGCTGGAATCGTCACTGTTTTTGCGACGCATATGTTTCTCCAATACCTCCCTGACCTGTGCTCCTGAGGGGTCGTTGATATCCGGACCAAGCAGATAAGCTCTGCCCCGGAGGCGCCACTGGGTCCTCGACGGCACGGCCCAGAAGACGGCCTCTACCGGTCCGCCGCCGCCGGACTGGGCGGGAGAGGATCCATCCGGGGATAGCTCGGGGATCTTTTCCATGCGGGCATCGGTAGTGATGGTGAGGAGGTCGCTCTCGTACACAGACGGGTTTAGCGGCGCCTTGTTCTTGGGGTTGGCCGGGAGCTCTGCCCACAAGCCCCGAAACACAACAGTTCGAGACCGAGGAGTAACGGTGGTTGACGAGTCATGGTGAAGGGTGCTGAGCATGAACGTCGGTGAATCCAACTCGTTGACGTGAGTCAGGAAGGCAGAGCGCCAAGGCGCCGCCTGAGTAGGACGAGAACTAGACATTGTGTGTTTGAGATGACCAAGGATTTGAGTCGTACGCTGGACAGAGGAAGCGATGGGTTTCATGGGTGATAAATTCGTGCTCTCATGAGATCTTTCAGGCTCAAGTTGTCTGAGTGAAGCTGATTAGTGGTGAAGTCGTGAGACCCCACTTCATTGTCAAGCATCAAATCATACTACGCAGCAGCTCGATGAGAGACTGATCTATGAGTCATGAGTTGAGGAAATCATTGACAACTTGAATAACTTCAGATATCGATCTATCTACTAGTTGACGATTTCATTTCTATCCATCTCTTGGCTATGAAATTGGGCACGTGGCTGTGCAGATCTTGAGCCTCCGCCAAGCCTGTACTGTAGACAACACCTTGTCGGCAACATGACTCTGTGGAACTGAGTAACATTAGCCAACTAGAGTTCAAGCCTATCACTGATTCTTATTGCCACTGTTTAGTTGTAATTCGCGGTCAAGGCACATTGTCTGTGAACCCACATGATGCTGCCGCTCAAGGAGGTCAGACGTCAAGTCAAATGCCGGGTCATCCCATCCGTCTTCAGCAGCGGAAATGACGACGGACCAAGAGCCCAAATACTCAACAACATCCCATCTTCATGCCTTGCGGGCTCGGTCAGAAGCCCTTACCCAGGCCTGTCCCTCATTTCCAGTGTACGTCATTGGCTTTGCTTGAGATTGGTCCATCAAGTTCTCTATGAGGGTCCAGACCGTCCGGGGTTGGCACCCTGAAGGGGCTTAGCCGGGGAGCCGAGCGGTATGTAGCGGCTATGCTACTGACGGAGGTCGACCAAGGAGGAGAGGACTCACGGCACTGTACAGACAGCGTATGTAGGGAGAAGTGTGTATTCGCCCAGCAAATGCCGCGCGTCAGAGGTATGGATGCACGCTCTTGGTAGTCTCGGGCTCTATCACGTCCCCGACTGGCCGTGCCGGGGATGGAGGCGCCGGCATTGATAAGCAGCCACGCCTCCGCCTCACGAACTGGCGAAGCTCTATGCCCTTCTTCTCGAAGCTTGGCTCCAACTGCCGCTTGCATTTCTCCTCACCATGGAGCTCACCGAAACGCCTCGACTACCAAAACGCCCGCCCTGACTGAGGGATGGAACTAAGGCCGCAAGGGTGGAGTGCCCGCGCGGAAAGGAAAGGGTTCAGTTCACATGTACATGCGCGCCCAAGAGGGAGGCAGTTCATATTGAGTTTCTACCAGTTGAGCCCTGGTAGGCCAGTCTGGCTCTAGCGGGCGGAGAAAGATGGAGAAGCATGTCTCAGGCACGGAGATCAGCAGGAATTTGTTGTGCCTCAAGGTGGTGGACAAGAAGACTTGGCTTTGGACGGGCTGTCACCGATGTCGCTGGCGCCCGACTCCTCTACCAGGGTCCCGGGGCACCTACGGCACCTGTTGGGGTGTCGTCCCTCCTCGTTTGTGCGACGATCCATTGGGGGCTCGGCGCGATCCAATGGGCGGCTGGGTGATGAGACAGGGATGTCCAATTTTACCATGGCTTGACTGGCTGGGGTTGAAATCGACCTCGTTTTGCTCAAGTGCCGGTGAGCGAAGGGGAAGTCAAGGGGGGCTATATTGCAGAGCCGGGACGGGGAGATGAGCATGGTCCAAGCCGGTGACACTCACCGGGGTCTTGTTTGGTCTTTTGTGTCTCTGCCTCTTCTGCTCGGATCTCCTCAAAGAGACAAGAAACAACATTGCTGATGAGCCCTTGTCTCAAGTCTCTTTTGCCTCGTCTTTGTTGGTTTGGCTCGGGGACGAGGCGCCAGCCCGGTGGAGATGCTGGCAACACCTTTTTACCCATGACGATAGCTCAGGCAGTAAATAGATCAGGGCCTGGGCCAGCCATTGTAGCCGTCTTTTCCCCCTCCAGGTCCAGATGATGACATGGGGGCTCCAGTCGGTTACGGTTCGCCGGAGCCGGCACTTGTTTTTTGTCGAGGTCATCAACAAGAACAGAGTCGTATGTCGATCCGTGCGTGCACCGTCTAGCGACGCTGGAACGGGGATCCGGCCGAGCCAGGAAAGGAGGCTGAAAGTGAGAGGCCTCGTCTTTTCTCGCTTAGAAGAAGTGAGGAGTTGTTTTCTGTGAGAGGAGAGTCGGAGATGGACGGGAGAGAGAGATGAGATGAGCGATATTACCACTTGAATCTTGTAATATCCACAGATGCAATCTGATACTGTACATCTAGGTACGGATAGTCAATATCCAGTACTTTGACTGTCACTCAGTCCGTCTCCTCGGCAAGCGGCTGCGGTTACAGTTACGGCAATGCCACGGCCAAGTTCCGTTCTCATCCAAGCGCCGTCAAACCCCGTAAACTGTCCTCTTACCAACGTCCGAGGGTGGGCAACTTGTCTTGTCTGGCAGGCAGTCACTACGCCTTTTGTTTTAGCTCGACACTCATTTACACCTGTCAAAGCTGTCTGTCACTGAGGAGGTCTTGTCTGATAGACATTTTTGATCAAGTGTATCTTTAGGCTAGTAGACGGAATTAATTAGCATCATCCCGTACTTCTACAGTATCCATGCCTCGGGTACCACAAGAACAGCCGCGTGGAAAGCGCGCGCTCTTGCGCACGTACTCGGTCCATGCCTACCCAACGGCTTGTAGCTGCCTTTTAGAGGCAAGCAAGCCTGGTAAAGGACAGGGAAGGAGGAGGAGAGGTACATACTTGTACGGGCTCCTGCTTTTACCTCACACCTCAGCCAGCCCGGGCACCTACCTTACCTTGCCTACCTACCTATCCTTCCTTCCTTCCTTCCTTCCTTCCATCCCATTCCCGGGCTTCCCTGACTGACTTCCTGCCCTGTCTACAAAGTCCGCTGCGGTGCATTGCGCTTTCCCACTTTGCTGCTTGCTCCGCCCCCGCCTTTTTTTGCCCCCCCGGTTCAATTCTCTTTTTTCGATTCCTTCCCTTGGATTTTCCTCACTCTGCAATTCCCTTTTCTTTTCCGGGATCTCTCTTTTTTTTTTTTGCCCAACCCCCAGGCCCTGTTATTCCCATCCCATCCGTCCCTTCCCGTCCTGGCCTTTTTCGCGTGCGTTCCAAAGGTGAAAGGTGTTGCCCTTTTGCTCTCTGAGCCTGCTATCGCGGGTTTCTCTGTTCCCCTTTAATTGTCCGTCATAAGGAGTCAAAAACTCCCCGAAGGACTTACGCTTGTTACCCCAGAACAACTGCTTCCAGCTCCAGTTCCAGCTGCCGCTGCCGCTGCCGCTGCCGCCCATCTCCGGCCGTTATTTCCAGCGCCAGCCGAATACCGACAATTCAACTCGCCCTCGTCAAAAGGTCCCCGAATCCATCAGTATCTTTATTCCCGGCGACCCCTTCCCTTCAGCCAAACAAACCCAAACCCCAGAGCCCAAAAGACGTCTCGTTTGGCTGGTGCCTTTTGACCATCCGCAAGTGCCAGATCTCGGCCCCAGTTTCGTCAGATCCAGCTCCAGTTCCAGCTCCAGCTCCAACCTGGCCCGCCCCAATTGTCGCGCATCAATCCCCTCGCCGTCGCATCCATCGCTTCGCTCAAAAAGGTGCTCACTCACTGGTCAGCGTCTTGGTGAGCTGAACCTGAACTGCGCAATCGATGGATTTGTCTCAGCGGGCGCATCCGCATCACGCGCATCATCAGCCGCAGCTCTCTAACCCATCACCATCTCGTCGCCCGGTGCATCATTCTACCTACAGTCCTGGTCCTCCATCTGCTCTGCCGACCCTTCCTCTCCCGGGCACTCATCCGCCCTCGGCTCTGACGCCTGGTTCAGCATCCACGTCACCCGCCTCCGTCTCACATCGGCTGCCTTCAGCTTCTGCATCAACCACGTCAAGACATCATGCTGGTGACTACCTTCCAGATGCCGACGACCAGGACGCGTCGACCCCCGTCAACGGCGATGAACCCCCAAAGAAGAAACAGAAGCGTAACAAGCCCACTCTGTCGTGTCATGAGTGCGTCGAACGCAAGACAAAGGTGGGACTTTCATGTGATGTGCAGCCTCATCCATCTTGTTTTCATCTCACATTTACCCACTCACTCCATTTTGCATGAGATGAGCCCACTTTACCCCAGGCTTGTTAGATCTGAATCTGGACTACATGAGTCTCAATGTTATTACCTTTATTGTCATGCATGCGACTCTATGTTTATGAATGCTGACCCTTTATAGTGTGATAGGGGTCGGCCGCATTGCCTTGCTTGTGAGTTCTCACCCTGCCAACTTGTTCCATCACTAACTTGGCCAGGTATAAAACGACAGACTGAATGTAGATATGCACATGTCGCAAATCTTCTCGAGTATGGGTCTTTCCACCCTCTGTTGTCCTGACCTAACATGAGCAGGGAGACAACACGGTCCGCAGCCAATGGCCGCCGAATGACGAAGCCTCCAAAGAAGAAGCCTGGTTCCAGTGGAAAGTCCCCAATTCCAAATATTGCTGATCGAGGCATGTCCAACGACCCGGCTGCGTCTTCTCGCGGTGCCATTGCTCTCTCAATTGGCCTCTTGTCCAATGTACCATATTCGCTGCCCACCGCGAGCAATGTCTTTGGCATTGGATCTGAACATCCATTCGCAAACTACTGGACCTGCGAGGGAGGATTGCCAGAAGTGATCTCGGTGCTGCCTGAAAAGATCCAGGCCGATATTCTACTCAACCGTTACTTCGAATGCGTCGACCCCGTATATCCCATGATACATCGACAGACGTTTTATGCCGACTATGAGCACTTTTGGCAACTGAATCAGGGAGAAAAGAACGATACGGACCCTTCCTTTATTGCGTTGATATTCGTCATGCTGGCTTTGGGCACCCAATTTGTGACATCGACGACATCCTCTCGGGAACGAAAGCAAACTGCCGAATTTTATGCATCAGCAAGCAATCAGGCATTACGGATCGCTTCATATCTTAGCACCGCTTCGCTTCGCTCGATACAGGCCATGGTCTTGTTGACCTATTTCCTCATCAATGACAATCATGCAT